TTTCCATAAAACGAATGTCTTCTCTTGACATTTCACTTTTCTCTGAGGTTTTCTCATTGAAGTCATGGTCATACTGATTGTTGAGCAGGAACTCCAAGTTAGATACAGAGATTTTGTTCACTTGAACAGAACGCGGCTTCACTTCGGTGCTGCTGTTATTTCCATCTTCATTTAATGGACCATTTATCACCCAGCCCAACACTGTCCTTAGAGCATATGGGCCCTCTCCACAACTGTTGACCACTTCCCAAGGCTCTAATATCTTGGGAGCGTTGGTTCCTATCAACAAGTCAACTTTGGCCTTTATGGTGGGGATTTGAACCTTTGACAAATAGGGCCATCTTTCTATTTCTCCAGCAGTAACAATATTATCTGAAGTGACTGGCATTTGCTTCTGCGTAAGGACTTCTGGCAGAGGATAAAAGTTGTTTCCATTCAACCCTGATACCTCAATGCCAGACAATGAATAAGCAGTAACAACCTTTTCCTGCCCCATTGTTTTTAAGAGAAAGTTATTCCTTTTCCCTGTGATGTTTAATCTTTGCATAAGCTGTTCTGAACAAAATGTAGCCGTACTACCAGGATCTAAAAGAGCGTATGTCTGTATGACATTCACTCCCTTGGCTGACTTTACTTGTACTGGAATGATTGACAGAATACAGCGACTCTTTCCGGCCCCTGTATGTCCACATGTCTGGGGAAGAGTTGATGGTTTGACTCCTGTTGGCTCTTTTATTGGTTCAGGCTCAGAATTTGCTTTTGGAATATGCAAAACAGTTGGGTGTAGTTGATCACAAATTTCACAGATTAAACGTTTATTACAATCTCTGCTGATGTGACCAGTACACAAGCATCCAAAACAAATCCCTTTGTCCTTCAAAAGACGGATTTTCTCTCTGTGTTTCTTGTTTTTGAACTGTTGGCATTTATTTATAAGGTGAGCACATGAACAACAATGACAGTATGGCTTTTGTGTCTTTGATCCATCTTCAGAGTAATCCACTGATGTTGCTGTGGTAGAAAAACTACTCCCTTTACTTCTGATTCTTGACTGTAGCTTGAAGCTGCTGGAAGACCTCAGGCCAGCTGTATGTTGTGGTGCATACACTTCAATGTCACCAAAAATTGGATCAGACAAGATCCTCACATGTTTCTCCAGAAATACAACCAGATCAATAAAATGAGCTCTGTGGTCATATGATTCCAAAATATCATGAGCAACAGCTCTCCATCTCTCTCTGAGTTTGTATGGAAGCTTGGAAAGGACCATTTTCATGTTATTTGGCATATCCAACTCCTGCATATAATGAAGTTCTTCCATCACATTGCAACATCCTCGTAGAAACAAAGCATAAGCTTGTAGAGCTTTAACATCCTCTGATTTTATTGATGGCCAGTTCAGAGCTTTGTTTATATAAGCAGTTGCTATTTTGTATTCATTTCCAAAATGGTCCTGCAGAAGACCTTTTGCTACAATGTAGCCACGTTCAGGATCCATATGTTGGCAGCTGCGGACCAGTTCCTTAGGCTGTCCTGCAGTGAATTGCTCCAAATAATACAGACAGTCAGCTTTACTGGCTTTGTTTTCCACTCCATGTTCAAACGCTTTAATGAAAGCTTTATATTGAAATGGATCTCCTTCAAACACTGGAATGTCTCGTGGTGGTAAAGACAGTAGACGCTGTTGATGCACAAGTGCAGCAGTTATTTCATTTTGCTTATGCATAATAGTGACAACGTCTCCATTTTGAACTTGATCAGTTTGATGACTTATTCTTTGTCTGGTTTGATTTTCACAAGAAGTTTTTACATCATGTTGTAAAACATATGATTTTTCTAAGTCCATTTGATCATGTGCATCAAAATGCTGCTTGCTCACAGAATGTTTCATTTCAGTCCGTTTTGGTCGCACATCTATTGTTTCCAGTTTGGTTGGTGTTGGTACTGCATTTCTTTGCTGCATCACTTTGCATGCTGCAGGATAATAATCCTTTACCATGGCATTAAGAGTTTTATCTGATGTGAGTTTCATTTTTTGCCTTTCAAAATAAGAGTTCATTCCGTCAGTTGGTGCACGGGAAAGACACTGTTCATCAGAAGCCTGCAGAACTGCCAACTTTGCAGTAGACGCAGCTAGCTCAGTTTCTAGCTCAAGCTGTTCCTTTTTCCTTTTTATCAGTTGCTCCTGTTCCTCCAGTGCATGACGTTCCTTCAAAACAGCCAGTCTTGCAACCAGTGCAGCACGCTCTGCTGCAGCTTTTATTTGTGCAGAGGAAGTTGTACTTGACCGATTGCTGGTAACACTTTTACTATAATGTTTACACACATTAGAAACACTATCATTAGGCCTAATATCATCGTTATCCAACCCATCATGATTAATATCAGCACCAATATTTAAATGACCAATACTTTCGTTTTTAAGTTCATCATCTTCTTTTGATTTAACCCACCTTTTCACCTTTTCAGCAAATTCATCAGTGAACAACATTTTTGCTTTAAACCATATTTCATGTTTTTCTTTCTCCTCAACCGGCAATAAATTCATTAATGAATCATGTATGCATCTTATTTCAACACACAAGTCAATGTAACCATCAAGAAACGTTCGAACTTCTGATACCAAACCATTTTGCATCAACTCTTGTATCTTTTCCTTTAAATTGCTAGCTTTATTTAGATTAGCCTTTCTATCAGCTTGCAACCGATCTAACCGATTGGCAATTGCTTTAGCAGAAAGTTTAACCACTCGTTTGCCCATTTGTGTGTCACAACTGCTGGTCAGAAGGTCCTGTTTGTCAGCAGTAGATGGCGCACTAGCACCTGCTGGTAAATCCACGTCCGCTATGCAATCCTCCATAATAAAAGTCCGTCAGTCAATAGATTGCAACCAGTTAATTGATACAAAGTTAATTGTTCCTCCACTTCAGCAACCAATGCATTGGATTTATGCCATTATGTGTGCACAGGTTTAGATTTAGATTCAGATGGCCATCTTACTAATTGTAGCACTACACATACGATGCGTGCATTTCAAATCCAGCAAGAGGAAATCCAAGGTGTCCTCCTAAACGCCGATCCTGTCCGACGTCACCCCAGGCTGCAGATGAGCTGATGCCAATCAGCTGACGCTCCGTTCCCAACACACAGGCTCCATCTGCGTCCCTCGTCGTAGACAAACGCCATCCAAAGTTCCTTCTCCACGATCAGTTCTTGTCATAAACAGTTTTTGACTTTTTGTATAGAGGCTAAGCCAAAGCTTTAAGCCCCTGAGGTGGTACACCAGGGTAAAGTTGACACGCCGATTACTTAGCCGCTTAATCGAAATGAGAACCGTCCTTGATGTTAGTCAAGGTAATCCATTTATTTCCATGACTCGGCAATGTTGACAATAACACCGCATACATTGTTTCTGCGATCCACATAGCTTTCACTTCTGTATCGGTAGTATTGCGTTGCGTTGCGGTCAAAAACTGTTTCCCCATTTCGGGTGGAACACACCTGTCCTCATCAACACCGGATCATACTTATGTAGACAGCTGACAGATCATGTGACCCAAACCATTTGGAATACAGAAATTCATAATCTGCTCCTACAATGGTGTTGAGAATAATTTACTAACAACTGAGAAATCCCCTTGTTAGGACATTCTGAGAGTATCACTGCTGCCCCCTGCTGGTTTAGAGCAAACCTTCTGGTTTGCTTGTTCCCCTCTAAAACAAAGGAGGTACAATATGTTTCACTGGAAATAATATATCAGCTGGTAGGGGTGGCCAATGATAGGCAAAGGAGAGACATTAACACCCCTGGCCCCCTTCTTGTTCCGCCGCAGTCTAAGAGGCACCGATAACCCAGCAACATTACGGATAAGTAATTGATTTGCATCAAATTTGGGTTGGAATTTAGGAGACACTCATTTAAAGTGTCTCAAGATCAGGACTGAGCACCAGCAGCCTTGAATTGCTCCATTCTATGGAGCGTTTGGTATATTATTTTTAGACATTTTTTTGTTATGTAAGTTTTTTGGATGACATTTTTATTTCTACAAGAACAGTGTGACATTTTGTCTTTTGACCCGATGTTGATGAGGAAAATGTATATGGCTATTAAAAGGGACAGGTAAAAAGAATGAGGAGTCACAGGGATTAATTCAAAAACAAGGTTTTCATTTTTAACCAAAAAAAAAAAAAAAAAACTTACAAAAAGTATTTTGATTGATTGACAAGAGGTCAATCAAAAAGACAAACTAACTGACTACATAACCAAACATAACTAATCTTACAAAGAAATGACACATAAGGGTATATATATATACACACTGGATGATCAGACCGATCATCCGATTGTCAAACAATAACAAATAGCTAAACACAGCAGTACAGTTAGGTTTGGCAATAAACTAATATACAAGAAATGAAAACACACCAGCTGCAAAAAAAACTTCAAATTAAAATGCAAAAAAAAAAACAAAAGAGAGAAAAATAAGGAAAATTCAAATCCCCCCATTTTAGCAGCCGCTGGTGGAACAGTCCAATTTCCCCTCCTTCATTTAGCAGATCTGAGCCCTTGCTGCCATCTCTATTCTGGCCAAACTCCACCATGGAAGGTAGGAAACAAAGATTAGTGACAAGAAAATTTCAATAAGTGGATCAAACATGTGAACTAAATGTGCGTGCTTTCAAATGTAACGCATGTATTTGAACTTTGAATAATTTTTTATTGCAAATTAAAGTATGTGTACGAATTAATAAATAAAGGTGAAGGCCATGGGTTTGGCCATCACAATATGAATTCCTCTCAATTCTCTCTTTTAATTTTGTTTCCGAGATAAGCTGATATGAATCAAGCTGTGTTTGGCTGAGCAATAATCAGGATTTAACTGCTGTGGTTCATTTGCTGTAATTGAGTTAATTTATTTAGAATTTTAAGCCTAAATGTTATCATATCTTATCATTAACAAATAATTCCCATCCTTATTTTTCTGTCTCATGTCTTCCAGAATTGCACTCCCTCACTTACATCTACACGGCCTTCTCCAAACCTGTCACTCTCCCGGGGCTACATGAGTTCACCGCTATGGGTTTGCTGGATAACCGAATGATTGATTACTATGACAGCGAACACCAAAAGAAGGTTCCCAAACAGCAATGGATGGCAGATCACCTTGAAAAAGAGTACTGGGACAAAGGCACCCAGTCCAGAAAGAGCAAGGAGCAATGGTTCAAGGTCAACATCGACATTTTGATGAAACGAATGAGACAGAATGACACTGGTAAGATCTGAGGAGTTTAAAGTATCTATAATCAATGATAAAAATCATAAAACTTATTGTAAATAAATGCCTTATCCAAACACTATTACTTTTACTAGAAAACACATTTTAGTTTATTTCCTTTCTAATTTTGAATGAAAATCATTTTTCCATATTAATTAGATTTTCCTGTGTTGTTTTCCAACAGATACCCATATTCTTCAGTGGATGCACGGCTGTGTGGGTGAAACTCAGCCCGACGGCTCTCTGAAGTTTGTCCGTGGGATGGACATGTACAATTATGATGGAAAGGACTTTCTGTCCTTCGATGATGACAAACAGGTTTGGGTTGCTCCAATTACAGCAGCATTGGAAACCAAGAGGAAGTGGGATGAGGTCCAGGTCCTGAAGGAATACACCAAGGGCTACTTGGAGAAGGAGTGTATGGAGTGGATGAGCAAGTTCAGAGACTATGGGAAAGAACAGCTTAAAAACGCCAGTATGTATATTATAAAACATGCCTTCATATATGTATGATTGTTCTCTTCAATATACCTTTTAAAATGTCAATGATAGAGAGATCTTTGGTATTAAATGAAAACATAAGTATCTTAAATTACGTTTAAAGTAAACATAGGTGTGAAAGATAAGGTAATGCAGCATTTAATTAATGGATAACTAACTTTAGAATATTGGTCAGATAAAATGGAGAACATTTAAATTGTATGACGGTTAAATTGCCTCCCTGCTGATCCATATGTTATTGTGTGTTTTAAGCAAAACCCATTGTGCACATGTTCACACGAAAGGCCAAAACTGAATCAAACGTCATCTTGACCTGTCTGGCCACCGGCTTCTACCCCAAAGACATCATTATGGAAATCAAAAGAAATGGACGTGTCCTGAACAAGGATGACGGGCTGCAGAAATCTGGGGTTCTTCCAAACCATGATGACACCTTTCAGCAAAAACTCCATGTAGAGATTTTGAAGTCTGATTTTTCCACCTACACCTGTGAGGTCAACCATCCTGGCTCTGATTTGCATGAAGAAAATAAATGGGGTGAGAAATTATTTTTGATGTGCTGTCGTATACTAGAGTTTAAAATCTAAGTAGTTGTTGGTTGATCTACCAAGTTTTCAACCCTCATATCAGCTTCCAGAATACTGCCTTCCCACTGTATCGATAGCCTGTAGAAAACAAGACAATTTGCAGGTGACTTGTCAAAAGTGAAAAAAAAACCTTCATCAGTAGATTAACACAGAAGATCAGGTATTTTTAAACATATTTTTGATGAAAGCCATGCAGAATGATCACCACAATACAGCTTACTTTACTGACAGACCTATAAAAGCCATTAGCATACCTTTCCCACAGCACGAAGCAACATAAAATATCATATCTAAAGAAAGTGATACATCATACTCTATTATTCGTACAGCTAACAGCAGAAAGAACTGCTGACATAGTTTCAAACCATTTCTAAAACTTTGAGACCACAAATAGCCACAGTAAGAGCCAACATCTATAGATGAATAAGGCCATGTAACACTGATTCAACTTCTCAGGACTGTGTGGCTTGCCAATACAGACAATGACAGAGAGCATCTGGCGCTACCAAGTTTAGTTGTACACAGGTTGCTATTTCTAAGCCTTTTGGTCTTATTAAGAGGATTTTTCTGTTACAAATAAACATAACATTTAAAACAAATATTTAACACAACATATCCCATTTGAGACAAAAAAAACAGACATCCACACATTTTCTTTCACGCTCATCCCTGCTGGGGTCGCGAGGGGTGCTGGTGCCTATCTCCAGCTGTCTACAGACCCTGAACATGTCGCCAGTCCATCGCAGGGCAACACAGAGACAAACAGGACAAACAACCACTCATGCACACACTAACACCAAAGGGGAATTTAGGGGATCCATTTAACCTAGTCATGTTTTTGGACTGTGGGAGGAAGCCGGAGTACCCAGAGAGAACCAACACATGCTCAGGAAGAACACGCAAACTCCATGCAGGGAATCAAACCTGCAACCGTCTTCCGACACTTCCCACTGTACCACTGTGCAGCTCAAAAAACAAACAAGTCACAAATAAACTAATAATAAAAAACAGCATGGTATATTTACTTCTAGAGTTAATTCTGGTTATCTTTACAAATAAAGATTTTTTTTTTTGGCTGATCCAAAATATTTTTATTGAAAGAACAAAATAAATAAATTTGAACCAGCAGGTATTCATTTGTTTTTTTACAGGTTTGTTCTTATGAATTCTAAATGGATATTAGTTTAAATTTTAATTGGTTACAAGTAAGCTATAGGTGATCTAATCAAAGTGAACTAAAACTGACAAAGTTTTTGTTGTTGTTTTAGATCACACTCTTCTTGAGGACAAGGGAAACAATGCCATTATTATTGGTATTGGTGTCGCAGTTGGGGTCTTGGTTGCGGTCATCGCTGTGGTACTTTTTGTCCTTAAAAAGACGACAAAAAAACTTGGTAAGATGTTTTTCCTGTGAAAGACATGCATCCAAATACAAACTGCTTCATAAGTGATGAATTTTTGTAATAAAAACAGTTAATAAAGTTATTGTTAAATGTTACTGAGAGTCACAATCACACAAATTTCTACTCCAGCTATTCAGTCAAAGTCTATCAGTTAAACAAATAAAAAGTATTTTATACTTGGTTTATACCAGATGATAAAATGGAAAGAAAGCAGAAAATATTAACTTTAATAAAATCTTGTCTTTCTTGTTAGATTGTCCTGAAGATACCCCAAATTCAAGTAAGTATTTTATTTCTATGAAACAAATTCACACATCTTAGTATCTTTTGAAGCAGTATTTAAGCAGAACATTTTCAGGCATGCTGACTTTTTTTTAAAGATTACTGATCAATTTTATGTATCAACCTATGCTGAGTCTGTGTCTTATATATTTGTAGGCCCGGGTTCAAGCACAGAGAATATCAATAAGCCACGTAAGTCAATTTTTAATATACCATTGATTATGTACAATTTATTATCAAATGTTTATTTATAATGAAGATTTAATAAGCCCTTAGCTATATCATGCTGTATTTCATTATGCTATGTGTTTCTGTTTTAATAGATTAGCTGTATTTTATTTATATTGATTTCAGATTAGAATATATTGGTGCTTGTCTAATAAAACAAAAGATTCAGTTCATTGTGCTCAAGTTGTTGCTGTCAAAAACCCGGACATTTACTTAAAAGTGGATGTTTACCCTAAAAGTGGACTGTTGTTGTAGTTCACTAGTTTGTTAGCATGTAGAAAAGTGTTTAGTTCTTACATTTACAAATAAATAATTGGTTTCTTCTGGATGCAGTTAAAAAAGCAATAATCTATTTTGTTCTTGTAGTAACTGTATCAGCAATAACATTTATCGTGTTTTCTTTGTTTTTATCAACTTAGGTGAATCTGAAACAGTTCATGTCCCCCTCATCCCTGGTAAGTGTTTTTTTTTTTTTTTTTTTTTTTGGTGCGAGTGACCCAATAATTGACAGACTGCTTATTGGGATTCTGCATATGGAATGTGGTTCCCATCCCCTCCCCACTGCTACTCCCTTGATTTTTATATTTCAACTAAAATTAGTCAATTTTTTCTGCACCGGTTCACAAAAAACATATCTCGGCAGAACTTTATCGGCAGACGGAGATGTAAATTTAACAGTAATGAGTAAAAAAATCACAAAATGGATTGTAGTTCAGTGCAGCTTTTTGAATAGTTATGTTAAAATGGAGTTCATTAAAGCTTACTGTACATGGATTGGGAGTTTCCAGAATCATCTGTTTTTTAGCACAGAACATTATTTAAATCTAAGCTTTACTGCCAAACTGATACACAAAAAGGTTTCCAACCATCAGTAATCATTAACTAAAATCAAATCCGAACTGGAAAGTATTGTGAAAATCTAGATATACCATTAGATTTCAAAATCTGGTTACATTTAGCAGCGAAACCCCACAGTTCTGTCTGCCTTAGTAAGTCTCACAAGTTCTTGTTGAAACAAATTGGTCCACACTTTTTACATTGTTTCTTCATTTGATTGAAATTTCTGGGAATCACTAAAGTATGAATCATTCTTATAAAATGCCCCCTCAAAATTTCAGTAAGGTTGATGTCTGGGCCATCCTAACACCTTTAACCTCTCCCATTTTTCTGTAGATTGGCTGCAGTGCTGGAAATGACTGTCTAGAGTAACTGAAAAACCCAGTGCATTAGTTGGATTTTTATTAAATATTTATCTTTTTTTCCCTGTTTGCAGGCAGTGATTCTGACAGCGGGGCCAGTGTTCCAACTCAGGGTAACTTTTCTCTTATTAAATCTTAAAAATGTTACCAAAAACATAATTTTAGCATAAAGGTCAAAATTTCTTGTTGTTTTCTTAAAAGTTGTTAAGTGCAGTATGTGTAGATAATAGAGAGATGGTTAAGTTTTAAAACTCCAGCTCAAGTCACCCATTTTCACAAACAAGGGCTTCAAACTATACCTAATTATTGGAATTAATGATGAGAGTTGGTTTATTTTATTTGTTACAGATTGGAGAATTGGCTTTGACCTATTATTATTGCTAAACGGTCTGATTCCATTTTGTAGATGTAAACTACAACACCTGCTGAAAATTTACAAAACTGTCCAATAAATGAATAAAATATGGAAGCAGTTCAGTCTGCATAAATCATGTTTGTATTTTTACGTACAGGAAGCAGCAGTTCTGAGAACGTAAACACTCCACTCATAACTGGTAAGCATTTGTAAATTGAACTATTTTCTGTTTATGCATGCTACAATATTTTAGAGCAAAATTTACAAAGTTATTAACAGCTTCATTATAAAGGAAATCAGAAACTCTTCCTAGTCTAGAAGATATATTGTGTATTAGAGAGAGATAACAATCTCCAGTTTCTTGTTCATTTTAGTTCATCCTTTACTTGCAAATATCAAATAATGTTTGAGTTGTAAAGGAGCTTCTCTGTTCATGACTTCAATCCATTGCTGATTTAACAACTAGTGGGAAAGAAATGTGAATATATTTTACAGATGTTACTTCAGAATTACTAAAAGTTTAATACATTAAATGATGTTAATTATGGAAGTAACAAAACTGTATATTTTCAATTGTTTGGAGTATTATACATTTTTATGACATTAAGTTCTTAATTAAGGGATTAGAAAAGTTTAAAAAAAATTCTTTTTTTTATACTTTGTCACCTTTCCTGCATGTTGTTACTGAACTCTGAAGTCTGTGACTTTTGTGGTTTGTAGGTACATTTTAAGTTGCATAATTAGTTTTGTTGGTAATAAATATTCAGTCTATGAATAAATGAAATGCTTTGAATTAAAAGAATTAAGGAAACAATATTTATATTTCTTATAGTTAAGTTAACAAAGGTCATATAATAATCTACGACCTCTCTATTTCTTATAGGCTCTGATCACGCCGATTCTGGCCATGAAAGTAAGTTCTTTAATCAAATCTGTAAAACTTTAACTAGATTCTTGCTTTAGAAGGCTACAAATATAAATTACAATCGTTATGCATCTGAATTTAGATTAAAGGTGTTTAGATATGTTGGATGGATGAAGCAGCTTTAATAATAAAGCCTGCAAGGAAAAGCAAGAGGCCAATTTATTCATTGGCTTTTGTATCTACTTAACAACATTGATTAATTTCTACAGGTAATGGAGATTCCTCTCCGAGGAGCGACAGCCCCAGCAGCACAGAAATGGAAGTCCCTGAGGGGTCTCCAGATCAGATGGTCTGAGTTGTTGGGAGAACGACCAAGCCATTAGAATGGGATTTGTGTTTTGGATTCACTAGTGTCCTTCCTTAGGCTGAGAGTCTTATATCTGCTCTGCTTTTGGTTAAAATGGATGGGATGGGAATTTGAGTAAAAAAAAACAACACATTTTTTCACCTAACATAACTCATATAACAAGATTAGTCCTAATTGCTTATAACTGTAGTTATTCACTAGTACTTCAAACAGCCAGAGCAAGTTGAAAAAACATGTATCTTAATCTCAAAGCGGTTATAAAGTGAGATGTATTTCATAAAAACAAAACTGGCACTAGTGCAATTAGAAAACAAATTTCTTTCAAAATATCTAACATTTGTTTGTACAGTGTTTTCCATAATGGAAACCAAGACATAACGAAAAATTCAATATGTAAAAAAGTGATACAGGATTAAAGACAGAAAAAATAGGATAAAAAAAGGTAGACAAAACCAAATGCACATGCATCTGTAGCTTTGTTCCTGTAAACAGGAAAAAAACTTTATAAAACAATTATTTTATACAAATCTTAATTTTTTTTCACTGACACACATTCATAAAAGGATCAGTCATTTTGGTTTACAAAATGTAAACAAACTAATCCACAACTACATATTCTGATTAACAAGCAAAAAATATTACACTACAACTGCATATAAAGTTAATTCAAAACTCAGTCTAGGTGCAGCCTCATAAAAGACTTACACTGAAGTAAAACATAAAAAAGTGTCTTAATCTGGAAAAAAAAAAATGTTTTTTTTATAACACTAGACTTAAAATATTAAAATCTTCCTAAATAAAAGTAGACACTACGTAGAGGATGTACATTCAGTATATTTTTTCGGGTTCTCAGTTTGGGAAAAACCATTAAATAAACAGATGTAAATAAAAAGATACCTGAACATGGTGTAATAACTTACATTTAGATAAGATGTATAGATTTGAAATTCCTTAATAAAACCTCGCAACTCGATTTAAAAAGACCTTTATGAAGGAACGGATGAATAAAAAGGACTTTACAATATTGCATTTACAAAATAACTAAACTATACTGCTGTAACTTAATGCATTAATGAGATCCATAAAAACAATATACAGTTAAGACTTTAAGAAAATTTATCTAATATTACAATTATTTTTCAAGCTTTTTCCATCTGTCCTAACTGCTTGACATGGATTATTTTTTTTATTTTTGTTTACTTCAATGCTGTGAATGTTTGATTATTCCTTAAACTCTAAACTAAGTCTATAATCTGATATTCTGCCATCAATATTCTTTCTGTGGATAGATATGAGCAAAAAGATGTTATGCTTAAAGTTAAATGAAACATAGTAGGAAATAAGTAGTATAAGTAAGCTGTGGATTCGTCTCATAAATTGTGATGAAAAAAAATGAATTACCTTTAATAAACGGGTGTTTTGTGTTATCTTTCCTATTAAAATACAGTGTGTACTAAAAATTGCCTCTTCCTTTTTTGTTATGTGCAAACATATGTTAATATTTGTTTATTAAATGTAGTGAGCCAAACGTTTTTTATTTTTTTTCTGTGTGGAAATTGTCAGTAATAAAGGTCATGCTGTCATAAAACAGGCTTAAATCAGAGGTAACCTGAATTTTGCTCATATTTCTGAAAACATTTTAACTCCTGTCTACGATTCTTTGTCAGTTCTGGTGGCTCGCACTAGAGATTTATAAATGACACCAAAGTTATAAGGATGAGTTTTTTTTCAATGTCCTGTTACTATTCTGAATGAAGAGTTTAAAACTAGAAATAAGTCAACAATAAGTCAACATTTTTTAAATTAAGTTTTTTTTATCCTTAATTGGAGTAGGTAAATAAGATGATCTGCCAATGGAATGGGTACTTTTACTCTTAAAATAAGATAATTAGATAATATGTGCTTGAAATAAGAAAATGCAATATTTTTTTCTTATTTAAATGTAAATCATCTTGTTCCATTGTCTCACTTACCACCTCAGTTCAAGAGAAAATTCAGTTATTTTTAAGAAAAAAATGACTTATGTAGATACATTTTTTTCAGTGTACATCATTAAAAGGAATGTTCAAGGAGAAAATACAGATTTAATTCTGTCTTTCAATTTCTTTTTTAATTTAGTTTTGCATTATTGCATAATGCAATGTTTTGATTTGTACTTAACCAGCAGTCAGGCACATAGAGAGACACTATACAAGCAGAAAACATAAAAATAAAGTGCAATGAGTTAACCATAATAGTTCAATAAGTACCAAATAAATAGACTGTGAATTGTGAGCATGGAGTGAGATATTGCAGATGTAACTAAGGTGAGGTGGTGTTCAGTAACTTGTATTAGTCTGACTTTTGCAAGGAAGAAGTTGTTCAAAAAAGTAAAAGTGAAAAACTGCTAAGGCAGCAGACCTGTGGTGACCCTGACCACGACCCATGTACAGCCCATGTACGGAGGCCTTAGTCCTGGATGTCCTGTTGTGAAGATTTCTTAAAATTGTCTTCAAGTAATTTAGCATTAACCCATTTATTCTTATATTGTATTTTATCAGTAGATGTATTCTTAGAGTTTTCTTTACAGGAAGAAATTATGATAATAGTATAGACAATGTTGCAAAAGTTTGTTTAAAATAAACTCAGAAAAAGTAAATTTAAATCAATTCCTTTTTCTTTTTTTATTCATTAATAAATGTCTGCATATATATATATATATATATATACGGTATATATATATGTATACGTGTATATCAGAATCAGAATCAGAAATACTTTGATAATCCCAGAGGGAAATTACTTTTGTTACACGCTCTAGTTACAGTTTTACATGATATATACACACATCCAACTATACAATATAATAAAGATAAAAAATAAGAATAAAAAGAGATAAAATATATATACACATATAGCTCTTCTATATATATATATCTGTACGTATATCTATGTATATGTAAAAACCTAAATCCAAATAGAGTGACAAGTCCAATTAAAGTGAATAAATCCAAGTAAGGTGATAGGTGGCGTGCAAAAGTAGTGCATAAATGTCAATTACAGAGGGGGGGGCTGAATCACCTGAGGGAGGCGTTATATAGGTTGATGACCACAGGTAGGAATGATTTCCTGTGACGCTCTGTGGTGCATCTGGGTAGGAGGAGTATTTTGCTGAAGGAGCTCGTCTGCTGGACCAGTGTGTCGTGGAGAGGATGTGAGTCATTGTCTAAGATGGACTGAAACCTGGACAGCATCCTTCTCTCTGCCACGGTGGTCAGGGTGTCCAGCTGCTCCCCCACAACATCACCGGCCCTCCTGATCAGTTTGTTCAGTCTGTTGTTTTCAGCGACCCTCAGCCCACTGCCCCAGCATGTGACAGCAAAGAAGAGCGTGCTAGCAACAACAGACTCATAAAACATCCTCAGCATCGCCCCACAGATGTTAAAGGACTTCAGCCTCCTCAGGAAGAATAGTCGGCTTTGGCCCTTTTTGTAGACCGCCTCGGTGTTTCTAGTCCAGTCCAACTTATTGTTAAAGTACACTCCCAGGTACTTATACTCCTCCACAGTGTCAACAGGAACCCCCTGGATGGAAACAGGGATCACAGGTGTTTTTGTCCTCCTCAGATCCACTATGAGCTCCTTAGTCTTTGTCACATTATATATATATATATATATATATATATATATATATATATATATATATATATATATATATATATATATATATATATATATATATGTATGTATGTATATATATGAGGCCACTAGGGGGCGACAGAACTCATGAGTTCTTCGACTTTACCAGGCTGTTTCTGTCTGTTTTTTTCTGTCTGGGTGTGTTTGACTCTCAGCTTCACTCACACAGTTAGTCGGCGACTCTTACATCATCTCTGCAAAATATTCCTCAACAGGTCAAGATGCTGGTATTTACCTTTTATTTAATTCTTGTGCCTCAGCTGTTAAGCTAACGGACTCGCCGCTTGGGAGTGTTACCATGGTGACAGGCGGATGGAATAGGGCTCAGAGCCGCAAACCGGCAAAACCGAAGCAGAAGACCGGCAAAGGCTCTGAGCTCCTGAAGGGAACTCAGGCAGAGACCCGCAGAGGGATACCGGTGAGCCGATCCAAGGAGATAAAGCTTTCCAAGGTGAGTCTATATTTGTGTTTGAAGCACTAAAAGCCTCAAAAAACAGGTTTAAACTGAATCATTCAACTTTTCTTTTTAGTTTGCAACACTCCTTATGCAAGAATTGTAAATAATTAATGGTAGTGATCATCATCACGCTTTTCATATGCATTGTTAAGCAAGTGTTACTTAATATAAGTAAAAAAATAGCTTTTAGTATTTCTTTCAGTATACTTTACAGGAACATGTCACATAAACAAATCTGCTGATAAAGTATAAATACTGTTCTGTTAGCTGTTTCTTCATTTGTTTATTTCTAATTGCAGTCTTGATAAATGAGAATATAATGAAAGATATATCTGATGTAATGATACCTTTTAAAAGTCATTCAAACTGGTCAAATATATTAATGGCATGTAGAATCTACATGCCTTTTTGCTAACATATAACACCAAAATATTGCATTGAAGCCATAATCATTTATAATCATCATCATAATCAAGCAAACATCATTGATATTTTGATTGCATTTATTATTGGATGTGTAGCTGAAACATCTTCCTTAAGGTCACACCATTAATAATGAATAAATGGAAGTTGTGCTTGTGGAAATGATGACTGACAGTGTGAGTATTACATCGATTATGACAGAGAACTGATTAATGAAATGTTCCTCAGAAAGTTCCACCTAAGAAAGAAGAGCGAGTTCACACCGGTTCAGGTCCATATAAGCATGAAGATGCAAAGTCAAGGAAGAAGATCATCAGGTACCATTTTCACACTCAGGGTTGCTTCATTTACATTTATGGAATGGAAATGTTTACTGTGTCTAAAAAGTTGTACTAAACGAAATGTCATCATGTAGTTGTCTTAGTCTAAGTCTAAGTAAACTCATTAAGGTTTGATTGTGGAGAACTTTCATAAGTTAGGTTCCAGAACCTTTTTCTTCTCTTTGCTGTGTGTCCCACCAGACCTCACTGACATAAAAAGCATCAAATGCGTGTATTTATGTTTTTAAGTTTATAATTTCTTCTTTAAAATTTAGAGATGTGTCATTTAAGTTTTTTACTGATCAGTGCTAATGTACAAACCAAATCATCCATTAAAGGAAATGAAAAGTTGTAAATGGAAATGATTCAGTATCATGATCATGAAATTATTTTAAGTTATAACATTTTACATTCTTTTTTGCACTGTAACTTATAGAGAATACTCAGAGCAAAGTCAAGCAATAGCTCTTTTATATTAATTCTTTAAAAAAAATCATCTTCATAAAAGATGTGTTGACATGTTGAACTATCAAGAGAATAATTTATGGAGAACTATTGAGCAGTCTAAGTTGTTTCCAGTTGTAGTGCTGTCAGTGTAAACAAGACTAGATCACCTGAATCAGTTTTTATTCTTCATTCTACTGGTTTTTGTTCTGTTTTGACAGGAGATCTCAAAGACTTCAGGACCCTTCAGGTAAGGACAGCAACATTTAAAATTTTACATTATCATAGACTTCTGAAACCTCCTTAAATATAAGGCAAGATCTATATTTAAGAAATTAAAATAACATAGTTTGAGCTGTAAGCAGTTAACCATCACCCATTAGTGCTCTAAGTTTTTTTTTATTTAGCTTTGATGAGCTAACTTTTTAGTATTCAACCTATGGATCTTCATGAAGAAGTTTATTTGACAACATCAATGACGAATTTCCCCTTTGTACCGTTCTTTCATTCTGTTCCTCAGTGTGTCTTATATTCTTGTTGGTTCTATGTTATTGAAAGCATTAAAATGCTTGTGTGACACAATAAGGCACAGATAATCAGTAACATTATTTTTATCAGGTTTTGATCACAATGATCAAATGTGCTTTTAGCAATTATTTGAAAATGTATGTTTTTATGTAGAGATGATTTCCATAACTCATATATATATATATAGACTCTCTCTTGGGTCCCAGCACATTAGTTTGATCCAATTTTTTTCTCAAAGCTTTAACAGTTTTCTTATAGATTTGTATAAAATATGTTTTTCTGTATAATGTGTTTCAGGGAGCAGGAGGAGTGGGGTGAGAAGAAGCACCCGGCCGACCACACAGACCGGCAGATACCAGGCCTCTAATGTGTTTAATGGGAACAACAAGTAAGAAGACCCGCTGGTATAAACAGGAAATAAAACAGACAGCAGCAATTAGAAGGTTTTCTGTTTGAATTTGATTTATAAATTACTTTTAAATAGAATTTACAATAGTTTTTTTGTAATTTCTGCAGGCTAAATAAGATTGTGCAACTATATATATATATATATATATATATATATATATATATATATATATATATATATATATATATATATATATATATATATATATATATATATATATATATATATATATATATATATATATATATATATATATATATATATATATATATATATATATATGTATATATATATATGTATATAAAAAGTGAGATCATATTGTTGTTTATTATGTATATTCTGCTTTTTGCATTTTCATAAAATGGTATAATTTTCAGAATATCTGTTAAAAGAAATGCACTAGTCAGGTCAGAAAAATCTTTATCATGAAAGGTTTTAAAGTGCTGATAACTGGTTAAATCAAGTCATTAATATTCAATTTTATCCCTTGTTCATAGACACATCTTACATTATACATTTAAAAATTATGTTGTTTTTGTGTTTGTTGTGCTTACAAGAAGAAAAGAACATTTTGATCAAACAGATTAGATTTTAATGACTGACATTCATCTTGAATATAATTTCTCTGCAGCCATGGAAGCCTGAATGGGACAAACAACCTGAGGAAAAACCCACTGATTAGTAACAACAAAGATGGAGTGAGTGTGGACTAAAAACATTGACATGGATATCTATATGCTTTACTGCAATTGAAGAATGATTTTTGTTTTAATGGAATTTTGAAACAAATAGGCCAAAAAAATATAATAGGTATTCTTATTAGTGCCAACAAACAGCTTATTGTTATTATACTCTCAGAAAGATGAACCTCCTTTCAGTCTTCTTTTCTCACTGCTAGTTAATTTTCCCTGTATATAATGAGGAGCTGGATGAACTTTGACTTCATTTAATTTAAAATACTCAATTAAATAAAACTAAGCATACTAATTTGAAAATATTTTAAAGGATTTTGCAAAAGCTTGGGGATTTTTATTTGGCTAAGCAAACATTTTTTTCAAAAAATTTTCTTTGGCAACAAAAAACCTTGTTTGAGTAAAACTTATATAAAAAAAAAAACGTATATTTTAGTATAATTGTTTTATTTGTAGTCATACTAATACCACATTAGTTTTCTCAGTTTGGGTTTTCTTTATGATAAGAAGATTCAGCATAGTGGTGAAGTTACTCCATCACATCTTAGCAGCATATAACTAATAATATGAAAAAGTATTAAAAAAGATAAAAACTTAATTCAAAATAAGGAAGCCATTACAGTAAGGTGTGAGCTGATACAGTAAAAAGCATCAATAATCAGCAACCTTTTCTTTATGTTTGAGAAGAAGCTGCCTCTAAACATAGCTCAGTTTTCTGCACAGTTCCTGTTTTGTTGTTTTGACAGCATGCTGCTCACGTGTTTACATTCTGCAGGAGGTTTAAAGCCCCAGTTCAAAGTGTTCTCACAGTCTGCAGGGGTGGGCACCCTCTGTCTTATCAGCTCACTGTGAGGGAGGTGCACCCAGCTGCACGCAGACTTCTCCGTCTGCTCACGGCTTGTGAGGAAGGGGTGACGGCTCTATCAGCTGCCAACATATTGGAGGGGGCTGAAAGCTTGAGGAGTATCAGAGCGTGCTTATTTATGTCACATGAAGTTAAGGAGATGATCAGGTTTAGATCTGTTTGGATGTGATGACAGTTTTCTTGTGAACTTTCTGAAGTTGTGGGAGTTTATTTAGGTTATTGGTTCTGTTCGGTATAGCCTGAAAAAACTACAGAGGGGAGCTTTAAATGAGTCATTGCTGAGGTCAAAGGTCCTGTGTGAACAATCATATAAAATGGAGGAGTTCCACTATAGAATAAAATATCTAACCATGAAACAGCTGCTCATTTCATCTGTTATAAATGAAGCATCTCATGCAGGAGGATGAAGAAAAGCTGGACGACCCATGAAACAAATCTAACTGAAATGAGAAAATCATTTATTTCTATCTGTTTATGGTTTTATTTAAGGTTTTCAATAAACAAGCATCCAAGATCGGCAGTTTTAATTTTAATTTTAGGGCGTCGGAATAAGTGTAAGAGCATCATGTCAGCTGACCTTTGTGTCTCTGGCAGTTTCTGTAAATTAATTCTTAATACTAATAAGAATTCACTCGTTTTTGACCAAATATTTTCATAGCCTCTTAGAAATGACAAAAGTACAGCTGTGCAATTTAAAAATCCCAAATTAATAAAGAGAAAAACAAGGTCTGATGACCAAACTGTAAAATGTTGCTTAGAATCACAATTTTCTAATATCATTTAACAAAGTTTTTTTTATTTATAGACGAATTACTCCAAAGCCCAGAGGAATAAAACATCAGGACCACTGCAGAGGGAACTTAGTGACTCCGATGAGGACGATGGTTTGTGCGATCATGACCAGCAGGAGGAAACAGTTTGGATGTTTGCCAACTCTCTTCTTCTCTGGTATTTGCAGGTGATACCGCTGATGTAGACAGCGGGCTTGGAACAACTGCAGATGAGGACAGTAACTGCAGCATGAACCAGAACTTTGACGCTAGACCGGGTCAGGATTCATCCATGAATGAGGGATCCAGCAGCAGTCAGTCTGATATATGAGGCTACATCTGCACTCATAACACTATAAACATGAAAGAGGGATATGGAGTCAGTAATCACAATTTATAAAAAAAAAAATCAAAACAGAAGGAGACATGAAAAAGTGGATCTGCTTGAGAGAACATGTTAAAGCACTCTGAGCATTTAGATGAGTAGAAAGAAAATAATTTGTCGATTATGATATAAATATCCTGATTTATATTTGTTATTTTCTGTTTTACACTGTTTAGAGTTTCTGAACAGAACCTCCCTTACAGGAACGAACCCGATCCGCGGGCGAGCCTTCAGGTGAGACCAACCACCACAGCTTTCTTTCTCCTGTCTGTCAACAGAGTCGCAATAAAGGGGAAATAATTGGAGAAAACATGATTGACTGACTGGAAGAGGCCTTTCTTTCACTGATTTATAGTAGTTTTTCATCAGACTAGGTTCTGCTATTCTTCTGATTCACAATACTTAAACTGAGTTCAACCCAACCAGAACAGCAGGTCGATGCGTGGCATTGCCGCACAGAAGAGAAGCAGACACAGAATGTTTGTTGCACAGGCTGAGAAGCATGGAGGAGATTCCATGAGATAAGTGGTTACTGTAGGAGAGCTGAACACAAAGCAGTGACAGGACAGCTAACTGCTCCTTCATGCTGGAGCCCACAAAGTGACCCTGAGTGGGTCTACCACAGTTCTCTCTCACCAACAGATTTTATGAGGATGAAGATACCAGTGCTGGATAAAACATTTTTTAGGTCTGGGAATGAAACCATAGACCTGCTTAAACCTTGCGCTTCTGCAGGGAGTGCAGGGTTCCTTTTAATTCTTCTTGGTTAATGATAATGCTCGGCTTTGTGCCGGAAATACCAGGCAGATCCTGGAAGATGAATAAATACAAAGAGACACGTTTATTTGTATCACAGATTTAGATTTAGTGTTTTTTTCCCCCCTTAATAATAAAAACCCTTTATCTGAAAACGACATTTTGTGTTTTCTTATGTATGTGACTAATATTTAAAAAATTTTTCAGGTTCTGAAACACTTAGATATGAAAAACCTGTACACAAAAATAAGAAATTATGTTTATATTAGCTTCTGACAGGAATTATCCTTCTGCGGAATCTTAAAAACTCATCTTTTGTTTGCTTCTATTTTTCCCTTTAGAGTGACTCAGAGTGTTTGGTCGAATGACTCTGATGATGATGACTCAGACAGTGAAGATGAAAAGGAATCTAGCAGGTCAGCGGAGATAAGGAATCTCTAACTGAGTGCTGGAGCCAAATTTTGGACCCGATACCAATAAGTCCAGTGTTGATAAAATAAATTAAAAAACATTTAAAGGGAAAAAATTCAAAAGAATAAATAAAAAATATCAATGGTGGTCTTATTTTTTCCCTATGACTATTTTTAGAATGTGTTTGTATCCAAGATAATGTAAGAGGCATTTTCCATGATTTGTTTTGCAGCCGAGCTCACGGTCTGCGTAAAGAGGAGCTTTTCAGGACCCGCAGAGACAAGTCTGCAGGAGCAGGTCTGGCTGACATCGATCCCATGGCTATCGATCAGTTTGTAAGTTAAACCATCAAATCATCCGGTTAAGGGCCTCTTTCTTCCCCTTCGCTACCCTTTCCATCTCTATAATTTATATATAACATCAGATTCTCTAACTTCTCAGTCCACTCCCACAAATATCTCTGCTTGAATGTTTTCTCTCTGTCCTTGTTTATCTTGCTGTCTCCTCAGGTGGGCTTTGACAGCATTGGTGGACTGGAAGGTCACATCTCAGCTCTAAAGGAGATGGTGGTCTTCCCTCTTCTCTATCCAGAAGTCTTTGACAATTTCAAGATTCAGCCTCCCAGGTGACAAAGACACCGATGATGCAAAGCTCTGCAGAATTTATTTACATCCTTTAACGCTACATTCCATTAAGCTTTAATATACTGGTATTAACGTTTAAATATCAAACTTGCTTTGACTGTGTTCAGGGGTTGTCTGTTCTATGGTCCCCCTGGGACAGGGAAGACGCTGGTTGCCAGGGCGTTGGCCAATGAATGTAGCCACGGTAACAGAAAGGTGTCTTTCTTCATGAGGAAGGGAGCCGACTGTCTCAGCAAGTGGGTGGGCGAGTCGGAGCGGCAGCTACGGCTGCTGTTTGAGCAGGTAACTTTCAGCAGATTATGACATCACTGGACTGTCTGCTAAAAAAAATAGGTTAAACAAATACCAGGTTTGATGGTTGGATTATGTTAGTGTTGTAGTCAAGACCACATCAACAGAGACCAAGGACCTAATATGGTCTTGGTCTTGTGTTGGTACTCTGTACTACAACACTAGATGACATAATTTATGTACGTTTTCTAAATGTAGTTCTTTTTTAATGTGTTTGCACCTGAAATGCTATAAAGTATCCATGGACTCTTTAGTGTATGAAAGAAAATCATTATAACGAAAGTTGATGCTTCTTAAAGTCTGGACTATCATATTTCGTGTTTTCTGACCGTTTTTCAGGCGTATGACAGACGTCCCTCCATCATCTTCTTTGATGAGATCGATGGTTTGGCTCCTGTTCGATCCAGCAAACAAGATCAGATCCACAGGTCTTTACAGCCTCTAAATGGACAGATTTTTACCTTTGCTCACCATCGATGGTTCATAATGATCACATCCTCATTTTGAAACCTCTGCAGCTCTATCGTTTCAACTCTGCTGGCTCTGATGGACGGGTTGGACAGTCGAGGGGAAGTGGTGGTTATCGGAGCGACAAACAGGCTGGACTCCATCGACCCGGCTCTGCGGCGCCCTGGACGCTTCGATCGGGAGTTTCTGTTCGGCCTTCCTGACAGAGAGGTAGCACTAACAGCTGATCTGCATTTTACAACTTAGTCAATAGTATAAGGAGTTAAAGTCTTTAAGACCTTAAAGTTTTTGCTGGTAAAACTTTAAGAATATTTTATTTTGAATGATATTTATAGTGACTTGTATTTCTGATTAGAGGATTAAATTGTTGGAGGTGTTGCATGTTTGAAATGTTATTTTATAAATGTTTTTTTTTTGCATTTTGTTTCAGTCACGTAAAGAGATCCTTAAGATCCACACCCGGCAGTGGAAACCTCCTCCTTCTGCAGACTTTCTGGATGAACTTGCAGAAAAATGTGTTGGTAGGTGGAAGGAAAGACATTTATTGTATTGTTTATGGTTTATTGTTAAGTTGCTAGTCATGAGAAGAAGTTTGATTTATCAAACTTTAAACATTAAATTAAGTAAAAACCTAGAAACAGAGTGTATTGTCAGAATATTTTATTTTTTTTCTATTTCTTCCTTTCCTTTCATTTTTTTTCCATTGTGCCATTACAACCTATTCTCATTATGAGTTCGTATGAAATCGTACGAAAAGTTATGCACCGTAATTTCATACGTTTTGTTTTTGTCGTATGTGCATCTTACGCACAATTCAAGAACATAGAATATAAATTACAATTAGCCCTAACCCTGACCCTAACCCTAACCCTAAGATATAAAACAGCAAGCAACGTAGTTAGAGACATGAATAAGTGATTATTGCACTGTTTTTCCCAGTTTTACGTCCGTCCGCGGATCTGCTTTTTTTTTCTGTCTGCCAGCGCATGCGCACTGATCTGGTTTTTTGAGGAAAAACGTCCAAAACGTACGAAATAGTGTGCATAACTTTTCGTACGATTTCATACGAACTGATAATGAGAATATGTTGGCCATTAATACATTTTGAGGAACTTAAATAGATTTTATTACTATGAAACGTTAAGTGTTATAAATAATACATAAATATGTAACTGGTTTCCTGGAAAAGGTGAATTTAAATGTTTATAATCTTCAACACTATTATTTTTTACTGTGGGGCTATGATGGCTGTAGTAAGTAGTCACAGCCTTAGAGGTAAATAAGAATGAATGCAAAAGAATAATGTTTTTTTTTATCATCACTTTTATCATTATCACGATAATATCACCCAATATCATGATCAGAAATTAAGAGCATATCACCCAGCCCTGGTGTTTAGGATGAAAATCAATTATCCTTTATTTATGTCTGACCTCACATAACCTAAACTCTTACAGGTTACTGTGGTGCTGACATTAGGGCAGTGTGCACAGAGGCAGCTCTGTGCGCTCTGCGCCGCCGCTACCCACAGATCTACGGAACCTCCCAGAAGCTCTTGCTGGACGTCTCGTCCATCTCCGTCAGCAGCTGTGACTTTGTGGCAGCCATGAGGAAGATGAAACCGGCCTCTCAGCGTTCCAACGCCTGTCCTACCAAACCGCTGTCCAGGGTGGTTCGGCCCCTGCTGGAAGCTGCTCTGTGCCAAATCCTTGAGGTTGTGCAGAAGTTGTTTCCACATGCTGAGCAGGGGATGAAGAGGAAATGGGATCCGGGTGAGATCAAGCTGAAGGTTAAATGCACTTCTGTTGTATTACTGAGTAGAGTCTTATTTGGAAATGTCATGTAATGTTAGACCTGACCTCTGGCGACGATGGTCTGATGAATGGAGCAGATGGAGGCTCCTCAACCTGCAGCATCTCTGCTCCTTCCACCTCCCAGAGGAAAACCTTCCTGCACTTTGCCAGGTGAAGCTGAAAAAAAAATCTGATTAAAGTAAAAAAAAGGAACCAGCATGTTGTTTAAAGAGAGTCAAAGAGAAATCTAAAGCTTTAGGATAATATCACCTAATTCCATCTAACATAAAAAAATGTCAGCACCTGCATGAACTCATCTTTCACTGCTCTGCTCTGCTGCCCCCTGCAGGAGTGCAGTACAACACCCAATGGCCCACCGCCCCCGAATGCTCCTGGTGGGTCGCCCAGACTCTGGTCAGACCTCCCACCTGGCCCCTGCGATCGTGCATGCTCTGGAGCGTTTCACTGTCCACAGCCTGGATGCTGCTGTGTTGTTTGGGCTCAGCAGCACCTCGCCTGAGGAAGCCTGTGCACAGGTTATTTTTACACTGCATGGATGCTTAGATAACTTCACAAAGTTTCATTTTACTCAAATTATAAAGCGGTTATTCTCAGTTTAAAGCTTAATATATCTTAAAAGAAAACAATATATTGTCATCTGCCTGATCTAATTAGAGTTTATTTAATCTAACATTTGTAGAATAGCTAAATTATATATAAACAAAATGGTGAAAGAATTTAATATCAAGTTCATTTTAAAGTTTGCAACTAAATGAATTAAATAGACAAAAATTAGGATGCTTTCTTTGACCTGGGGTCGTCTTAGCTTTGTTATACTGTATAAGTTTACTTTTTTATTGACCAAACAACACATCATAAAGAAGTAAAGTCTGTTCTTTAGCAGCCTCTAGTGGTGGTAAGGGAAACTGCAGGATACATTAAAATAAATAACAGAACAGTTTAGACAATGGTTTAAAGACACTACAAGAGGGTTGTAAGCAACATTATCTGGGTGGGCCCCATATGAAGTAAAACACCCCCGCTGCTGCCGTACAAACGATCCTAAATGTGCCTCATACATACACACTTCATCATTTCATCATTCTTCACCTTCACTAGACATGGATATACTTTAGTATATTCCGCTGTAAAATGAGTCTTAATAGGCTACCTTGAGTTTCTCAGCTCCCCTCCTCACCCACGCCCTCTCCATTCATCTCGCAATCTTCACTCACTGTAGCAGCAACGTCCACCTCTCCCTTTTTGGTTCTTTGAAAGGACATGTTTATTTTGGGAAGTTTTCTGCGTTCTTCCAGCAGCTCTTTGTTTTTCCTTTTCTGGAATCCTCTTAAGTACCTCATTTTGGTATCCATCGTTGCTAACACATTGTACGTAACGGTAATGGTTTTAATCTACGCTCTGGGTTATCCATAATTCCAAGTCGTATTGTAAAAAATAAAATACTCAAATACATTGTTCTTTTAAGATCTTTATTGTGGTTTGAAACACATTATATATATGAGTGTATTTTTTAACCAACCGTCTAATGAACTATACACAGTTATTAACATAGTACTTAAAAGTATGATTGTCTGCTTTGCTATTGGTGTCATGTTTAAAAGCCATTATGTTGAAATCTGGCATGTGTTGGGGTATAAATACGGTCCGCTGCGGTCAGCTATATCAGGTGGGTTTAAGAGGAATTTTTCGCACCATTCCATCTGCAAAGAGACGCTCTAGTCCAGAATTGCGTAGGGGGCCAACCAGGTATCAGTAACAAGGCCCCTAAGCAACTGCAGTCTCTGCTTACCGATAGTTACGCCATTGCATTTAGATAAAGACTGAAACAAGGTTTCAGAGGAAATTTCTCCACTGTTCAGGTGTTCTGCGAGGCCAAGCGGACGTCTCCCAGCATCCTCTACATCCCTCACATCCAGCAGTGGTGGGACACGGCAGGATCGGCACTCAGGGCCTCTTTCCTCAGCTTGCTAGGCAGCATCTCCCCATTCTCTCCCATCCTTCTCCTTGCCACCTGCAGCCTCCCCCACCAGCAGCTGGACCCAGAGGTGATGCTTCCTTCAACTTTTCTCTCTATTCACTGTTATAGAATGTCGTCTATTGTTTGAAAGCAGAAAGCGAAATAAAAAACACACATGTTGACTCTAAAAATTCTTGTTTTCTCATCAGATACAGTCTCTGTTTCGGGAGGAGTATGGGGAGATATATACCATGACTGTTCCCATGCAGCAGGAGAGAACAGAGTTTTTTCGGGATCTCATTCTGAATCAGGCAGCAGAGCCTCCACCGTCCAGGAATAAAGGTTTCTATCATGTTTTGATTCCTGGTGCTCTGCTCCACTATCAAGTATAAAGTTACCAGCTTTTTGAAAAGTTAATCGAGCGTTTTTGAAGCATTAAGCCTATTTTTATCTTTGATTTTATTGACCACATGATTTTTATGGTTGATTTTTGATCTTTGATTTTATTTGCACTGTGTAGCACTTTGAGATTTTTCTTAATGAAAAGTGCGGTACAAATTGGATTTATTATTATTATTATTATTATTATTAAGCCTAATATTCCTGCTTGTCTTCCATTAGTGACCCAGAAGGTAGAGATCCTTCCTGTGGCTCCCCTTCCTTATCCAAGACAGATGTCAGAGCAGGAGCGTCTCCGTCTGGAGGAGCAGGAGGAGGATGTGCTGAGGGAGCTCCGCCTCTTCCTCACTAACCTCACAGAGCGTCTGATGCTGGACCGCCGCTTCAAGGCCTTCACCAAACCTGTGGACATCGAAGAGGTAAACTGATTCTGTTTTATCAATTAGTCATTTTACTGTAAATCTTGTTGGCATAAACTGTGGAGCTGCAACAATTAGAGCATTAGATGCATTTGGTACATTTAGGGGCAGCAAAAATCCATAAACTCTCTCTATTTTTCTAATATCCTTCATTCTTCAGGTGCCAGACTACCTCATGGTGGTCCAGAACCCCATGGACCTCTCCACTCTGCTGTCCAACATCGATGAACATAAATATGTCACCGTTAATGAGTTCTTGTCAGACGTAGACCTCATCTGGCAGAATGCTCTAGAGTACAACCCAAAGAGAGACCCAGCAGGTGGGACTAAATCAAGATGCTCTGCCTGCAATGGACTGATTTTTCTCATTGAATTTAAATACTTTTAGTATTTATACATTGCTAAGCAGGTAAAGATACCTTTGAAAAAGGTTGAGTAGTAAATTAAAAGTATACAAAAATGTAGATTTATGTTGAATCAATAAACCACATGAAGCCTTGTTAATGTCAGAATATGGTTTAATCAGACCCACAATAAATCAACCCCTCCTAAAGGAGGAATTCTTTACCAGTTTATTAATTGATAGCTATCACAAGTTAAAGTAGGAGGGACATTTCTTAGTAATTCTTTGATTTAATTAATAAAAAAATTAAACTTTATTTCAAAAAATAAGTTTAAACACACAAAAAAAAAAAAAAACACAAAACAAAAAAAGAAAACAAATAGGTGTATACAGTAGATATGAGTTCGAAAGGCAGCAGGGAGAACTATACACTTATTTATCCCTACCCCATTATCACTATAATAGATGTACTTATATGATGCTGTTAATCAGAAATACTTTAATAATCCCAGAGAGAAATAACTTTTGTTGCACACTCCAGTTACAGTTTTATATATATAAATATATATACACACATCCAACTACACAAGATAATAAAGATTTAAAAAAAAGAGATAAAGTATATACACATATAGCTCTCTAATAAACAAAAATGAAATTTAGGATCCATTAAATTCTAAATAATAAAAAATATATATAGTAATTTAAGCAGAACTAAGCTTATAAACCATATAAAAACCATATAAACCTTCATGAATATCTACTGGAAGCCTATAAATCTGTTTTGGTTTAGTGTTGATTATTTCAATCTTTATCATTGGGTTTAAAAGCTTAACCCACGCTGAAGCTTGCAGAGTTTCAGAGACCTAAAGGCAAGTTTTAGGCTTGATTTTGATTATTATTCCTGAACTCACTGAGAGGAAGGAATGCAGGGAAAACAGAGGAGTTTAAGTATCTAAACAGAAGCAAAAGGCCAGCCCACCTGCAGGACTGACTGCAGGACTGATCCCACCGACTCTCTGCTTGGCTGATGGGAAATCTTGACACACACTAGCAGTGTTTGTCCTTTGTGTCAAACAAAATGTGTATATTTTACAGTATTTGTACAGATATTCCGGTATAGCTGGAAAATCTGATCCTGAAAAATTCATTTTACTTAACAGTCAAACATAGTTCTGTTGATAAGCTGGTGAACCACCTGCTCACTTTGGTCAAACCTCCACTTCCTTTTTGGAAAGTTTTATCAGTGAGAGGACAGACCACAACTATCTCTCCTCTAAAGTCACATGATAGCTGAAGGGCCAATCAGATGACGACATGGGGAACAGATTCAGCTTTCAGACGGTGGCTCTCAGGTTCTGGAACGTCCTTCCATTTTATTTGCTCCTCCTGCTGAATTTGATAGTATTAGTATTTCATTTACATTGTTAGATGAATACAGGCTCATATTAAATCAAGCATCATTTTACAATTTTGGATTCACTTAGTGACAATTATTGAAACTAGTTTGGATAAATTGGTTAAAAACTTTATTGATTTTTCTCAATAACTGAATCTAATCCGCTTGATTCCTGTTTTTGATTCTTGTTTTATTGAGCATGAATTCAACTCATGTGTATTTTAAGTCTAATGTGTAAATGTTTGCATATGTCAGACCGTCACATCCGTCACCATGCATGCACCCTGAAGGACACAATGCGAACCATCATCAGAAAAGAACTGGACAAAGATTTCCAGAGAATCTGTGAGGAAATCCGAGAGTCCCGCATTGAAAGAGGTAAAAATTTACTCAGTGTTCAGCGTGGCCCAATTAAACCAGGTGTTCAGACGCTCAGCTTCATTTTACTAAATGAGATTTAAAGTAATAATAAAACACCTGTATTAAAAGGCTTTTGAATAGAAATGTCTCGCAGCATTGGTGGTTTGTATTTATTTGTGTTATTATTCTACTTATTAATAAAACCTTCATACTAAAAATTAAGACTTCTTTTTGTGACAGCGTTATCCTACAGGCCCAGGGCCAATCTAGACTTGGCCAACAGCCTCTACAACCAGGTCTTCACCCGGAACAGCACTGGACCTCAGGGTGAGCTTTATTTATTAATTTTTTTCATGAATGTAACTTAACACTAAAATTAAACTTAAAGTTATGTGAACCAACAGGTGTTGTCAGAAAATTTAGATTTCTCGTATTTCATATATTATTTATCCTATTTACTCACTATAAAAGTTTTCACTCAGTCTGTTTCACCTGCAAGGCCACACAATTCTCTGCGTGGTGTTTGCAGACCAGACATAGCTTCTTCCCATGACAAACCAGATAATTTCTCAAGGTTTATTCATAACATGTTACTGTTAAACAAATTGTCTGTAATTTCTTTTGACTCTGACTACTTTTCCATTGCTGTAAGTAAGGGGGAACAAATGCTGCTCAGGCAGAACAGGGCTGAATACTGTACCATAAGGGCTGTATGATGAACTGTTCTCTCTTTGCAAAGATATTATGAATAAAGTGCCGACTGAGTGAAATCAATCGATCTCCTTTTATTTAACTAGGGTGAATAGTTGAATACTTTTTTCACACTACACAAGGTAAAGTTAAACACAAAAATATTTTACCCAAATTTTTTATTTTTTTTAACAGTGTCCTGTCTGGCAATGTGGCAATAAGAATAATTGTCTTGATGCCAAAAAGAGCCCAACAGATTTTACTTTCACAAGTGCAATTGCCATACTGCTCCACTTGTTTCATGCATATAAATTGCTTTATTATAATTATGCAGGGAGTTTTACAGTTTATATGGACACTGCAATGTCAATACAGCAGAAAAACAGAAGAAGAAAGGGAAAAAAAGAAAAAAAGAGAAAAGATGAAAGAAAGGAGAGATAGAAAGGTATTTTACCCAAATTTTAAGATTTATATAAATATATAACATTTTTTTTAAATAACATTGACACCACCCCATTAAATAAATCTTACAAGGTGGATATGCATTTGTTTAATATAGCTTATTTATTAAAAATAACTAATTGTCAGGTGTATCTAGAATTGATAAAGTATACTTAATTAAAATGAATACTAATTAGTGTTTTTATTTCAAGTACATAAAGTTTATTGTCTGAATTGCCTAATAATCTGGTCAGTTCTAAATCCATGTTTCTGATTTGACCTATATTACAGAAGAACTGTTAAACTACCATTTTTAAACTCAATGCTATTTCTGACATTTTGAATTGAAAAAGCTTCCTGGATGGGAAGCAAAACATCTTCAAACTTTGAAACTAAGTCCAGTGGATTGTTTTTTAAAAACTTTTTTGGAATACAATTTTTAAAATTAGTGTTTTTTTGTTTTTTTTGAATAGTCATATTTAAGAGATATGTTTGTTTAATAAATCCCTGCAGAAAAGAGGATGTGAGGGCAAAGCTTCAAGGACATAGAGCTGCAGAGCCTTTAATTGAACATAAAAGCATTAGTCTCAGAGCAGGTGAGAGGAAAAGGGAACAACCATCAAGCTGACCAAAGGAGGAAAAGTGAATGAGGGATTCTGCAGCTGAGGGGAAAAGTCCCAAACAGAAAGGAAGATCAATTGAACAGTAATGAGGATTCAGTTCTACTCCAGCTCTTTTCTTCTTGTTGTAATGACCCTTCCTTTCCTCTCCCTCCCCTCAATCCCAACCCTCTTCTGTATTATTTCTGCAGCGCGTAAGAAAAAGTGTTTCAAATCGACACGAAAATCCAAGTGGAGCACTGGTGTGCTTAAGAAATGGCAGCCAAAGAAGACAGCTTCCACCTCCTCCTCCTCAATGTCCAGCGTAACCAGTTCAGATTCCAATGGAATCAGAGGAGGGAGTGTTTCTACTGACCAAAGCTCTTCTAGTTTATCAGACAGCAGCGATGAAGACAGGAACACCTTCCTAACTATTAACCGGAACCATCATGCATTCAAATCTCTCCAAAAAAGGCTCCAGCAAGTATACAATCCGTCCAGCAATACTCCCAAAATTAGCCCGGACCACAGGCAGCAAAACAGGCCTTCAAAGTCCGACCCAGCCCGAAGGAAGGCGCTGACCGAGTTTTATTTAAAGAAATTGGGTGTGTTTGTGTAACAGAGATTTGGAGTGAAAGCTGGCTGCTCTACTAACTGCCCTTCAGTCGACTGTGACTGAGCTTCAAAGCCCTGCAGCGTGTAAAACAGGGAGTGAAATCACTGCCTGTGCTTCTGCTTCGCTGCTGCTGCTGAGCAAGATCTAAAGTGCAAAGTTTTCACAGTCAGGCAGACGTCTGGGCAGAGAGCCAAACTGGCACAAAGCTGAGCTGAGAACAGATGCTCTCTGATATTCTGTCACACAGACATTCTCTGCAAATTACTTAAAAGAGGAGCTTCCTTTGACTGATTATTTTAGCTTGAAATGCTAGTGCCTGTCTGAACCATGCACAGCTTGTTTTCCTTAATTTGACTGATGCCCCTAATAGACCTTTTAGATGCAAAAAAAAAAAAGACGCTTGATTGACAAAAAAGATTTACTCCTTAAATAAAGATTGAGGTTAATGTTTTATTACCTGTGGTTTTAGAGTTATAAACTGTACGTCATGTGTTGTTTGTTTGCTGCATTGTCTGCGCTCCCAAATAGTGATTAATCTATCTATTTAATTACAAGAACAATCATTTTCTTTCTTCCCCAGAGAGGCAGAGGAAGAGCGAGATGAGAGCAAACAAGGCCGTCTTCGAGCAAATGCAGCAGTTCAACATGGATAGATCTGCAGAGATGGTGAAAGAGCAAGCCCCCCCGCTGGTAGTGGATCATAAAAAGCTGAAAGTAAGTAACTCAGGTTAGGCTGTTTTTGTCCATATTTGGGCCGTTTTTAAGATTACCACTGCTAGCTACTAAAACATGGTAGAAATATTTTATTTTGTTGAGTGTTCTTATACTTCTGAAATGAAGTAAATACAAGACGTTACAGCTTTGCAAATATTTTCAAGAAGTTTGCGATATTTCATCAAAAATGGCAAATAATTTTAGTGTCTTTTTTTATTGTCCCTTAACAGGTAAATTTGTTTACCAGTGTAGGGCAGTGACAACATTCATTACTATAGTAACCATCAATATGAAGTGCAGATTAAATAAAGTTTGTGCATAGTCATGAAGTGAAAGAATTTTTTTTTCCATATTTAGAGACTTTTTTTTTTTTTTTTATCCGCCCATCATTGGACGAGGTCTGAATGACTTCAAACAGCTAATCTTTTAAAAACAAGCAAAAAAACCTGTGTTTTGTTCTTCCTGAACTTAAATTATATTGGAGCTAATTTTTACAACTGACAACCATAGACATTAATACGTAGCCGTCCCATTGGACGTTTCTGACGGCTTGGTATACCTGGTGCCTGTAGGTGGTATACCTGTAGGTGGTATACATGTAGGTGGTATACCTGTAGGGCGACCATATTGGGTCAGACCATAGTTCAGACAGATGCTGACAGAATTAATAGGAGGCAACTCAGTACAACAATAAGTTCTTACCTTTCACAACCATTTGAAAGTCAAAAACTAATATTATGATTACCTTTCAGAGGGATCATACATATTAACTCTGAATCAAAACTATTGAAACCAAAGTCAAACTTGATTAAAATTATATATATATATATATATATATATATATATATATATATATATATATATATATATATATATATATATATATATATATATATATATATATATATATATATATATATATATATAAATAAGAGGATAATCTGTCATAAAATCCCACATATGAAAGGTAATTGTACTGGGTCTGCTTTGTAGTCTTCTTTCATTTTTGCACCCATAGGTTGAATAAAAGTCGGGCCTCCAGAGAGGAAGCTCTGGAATTTGCTAACTGTCAATATAAAATCGAATGTATGCATCATGGTAGAAAATAATTTATATTAATCAGCTGGTACCATATTGACCCTTTAACATTTTCATTCAGCTGAGAGTTCACCAGATTCACTGTCTGAATTCATTAAGTAATGTTTGCCCCAATTGATGTGTATTCTCCCTGACGCAGCTTGGTCTGAACCAAGATGGCCGCTCTGTCGGCAGGTGCGCCTATTTTAACAATTACGCGGAGGTTTATCGATGTCTCTGGTATAAACATCTATTTCCTGAGTCTTAAATTTAAATAAAAACATAATTCTCTACCTTTTTCTCTCAGATTGATAATATGAGGGTTCTGTTGAGAAACTATCAATAAGAATATCTGGACACATTTAACCAATTTAATTCAGGCTATGAAAATGCTTCAAATCCATTTTTAGTTAAATTTGTGCATTTTTTCAACTTAATTCTGGGACCATTTTGTTAGCCTGTGTTTCACCAGCATCGGTTAATAAAGGGATATATAATTGAAGGTCATATTGATCTCTGGTTATTAAATGTACTAATTTGATTATACATTTAAAAATGACTGGATGAATTTAAACCTTTTTATATTGTGAATTGAAGCTATATGAATAAAAGAAAGTACTTTGGTTGTAACTATTGTTCAAAGTAATTCTTGTTTTTTCTTTTCCAGGATCTGCTGAGCAGAGCTGTAGCTAAAACAGAGGGCACTGAGGTGGAGCCTCTGGAGAAGCTTTATGCCCTGTTGGCTCAATGCATCTACAGACACAGAAACAACTATGACAAGACGGAGCTCATTAAGGTACAACGACACCGTAAACTCACTACTTTTTAGGGAGTTTGGACGTTGTTAAATGTTACAACAGTTTTCTTTTAGCATGTATTTTACTTTATTACAGTCATGCTTCTATAACCTTCAATATACTTCCTTTATAAAGTATTTTTATTTCATGTAAAGAAAAACAAAAGGCATCATGAAGAGAAGGAGTTGATTTTAAATAATTTATTTGTTTGTTTTCTCTAGGAAATGAAGAAAGAGGTTGACAACTTCTCCTGAGCAGTGATAACAAAAACTGAGTCACTCTAAATGAAAAGTATTTTTATTGTTTATTCTATTTATTAAGATATATTTATAAAATTAGAAAAAATCTAAATACCTCAGTATCTAAAGTGTTGCATCAGATCATATTAACATTTATTTCTTTAATATTTTTGAAAGTAAAAAAAAAAACAAGCTTATTACTATCATGTTTACTTAGAATGTTTATCATGATGTGCACTTTATAAAAGTGTAGGTCTGGGTAAATTAAAAACAATGTGTGTTTTGGGTTATTAAAATGTCATCGTTTAGTGTTGGTTTTCTCTGTTGCTCAATTTGTGGGTTTTTTTTGTTCTTGAAAACAAAATTTTTCATGCTTTCTGTCTGCAGGAGTTAGAAATTCAGGATTTATTTGAATAAATTGTTGTGAAATTGTTATAATCAAGTTTGTGTGTTGTTCTTATTTCTATTTGTTTTTAATTATTTTGTAATTTTTTAATACTTCCTATGAGATATTTGAATTTGTAGGACATTGTTTTTGTTATTATAATTAATAATTCAGTTGTTAGTACATGTTGTATTTTATATAATATTTTAACTTTTATATGACCAAACTGAAAAAAGTTTCCACTGTTCTCTATTTAGTCACTGGATTGCCGATAGGCCGAAAAGTTTTAATTAACCTGCAGCCATCTTGGTAGCCCACACTCTTGTAGAGTTGTGCCTTAAAAACAAGCAGTTTTCAACTTCCCAAATCATATTCAGAAGGTCTATGCCATGCTGCAATGTCGGATTCAGAAAAAGATGTTGAAATGTCATAAAGGTCGGACACAGGCGAGAGTGTATCTGAAGATGGAGACGGAGACCAACAAGACCTCCCTCATCCTTGGCCCAATCTCAAAGAATTCTTCTAAATAGTTGAACAATTTAGCTTTCAATTCATATAGTGGCATCTGGTTGTTTTTGTTTTAAACTGCAGTATCCATACTTCTACTTAAGTAACAAATGTGTGTACTTTGGACACCACTGCAGAATCCTAAAAAGGAAGTTAAATGTGGCCTTGGATACCATAGCATCATCCAAGAAAAAACTAAAGTACACACAGTAGAAATCAGGGCGGCTGAAGAAGGAATTTGATTCACTGAAAAATGTTGTTAATGAACTGAAGAAGAAATTATTAACTATAATATTATATTTAATAACTATTAATTCAGACAACTGTGTTGAACCAGTAAATAGCGATCAATGGATGCTACATGCACGTCTCTATCTGACGTAAAGACGCAGATGAACCTTCTGACCCGACGCGGAAAAATATAACAAATTTGACCTCATTACGTCAAGTTTGTACTTCCGCCTATTTTGACCACTTTCAAAATAAGAGTCTAGGGCTCTATGCACTCAGCTTTAGTCTTCAAGTAACTCATTGTTGTCTTTAAATTGCAAACTTGGTGTTAAAGATAAATAATTTACATGTCTTTAAGGTAAGGTTTGAAAAACTTCAATCCTATTGGTTGATGTGTTTCGAAGTACAAAAGACATTAATTTACATTTTCAAGTAGGAATCTCCACTTTCTTACAAAAAAAGAGAGAAAATAACATTTATATACAGGAGATCAACTTAACTTGTGCAAGGCAACAGAAATAAATAAATTAATAAATAAAAAAGCAGTAATATTACAACCAATGGAAACATACAAAACTTAAAAAAATAATTCAATTAAATAAAAGACAGAATCGTTCTGCAACAAGACAGTTTCTTACATCATGTTAACTTTAGCAATTTTTGTGAGTAAAAAAAAACCCCAGAAATTTTGACATGTCACTACATAGTTTTTGTCGGCTAACAGAGATAAAGATAAATAGAAGATTTTGACCTCGTTTTTTAAACTTATTAATGAAGGTTTTCTATTTTTTTCCATTTAAATACATGTTTATATCTTCCCATATCTAAATCAATCGGAATGTCATGTAACTGACTGTTATATGCCATTTATAATTACCTTTGTACGACTTTTATTCTGAAGTCCTAAAACCGGATGCTCATATCAGCACTAGCTAGCTTCCAGCAGCGGTACTAAAAAAATTGGTCGGATTTGTTAACTAGCGGTGCCTTTTTTATGAAAATGTCCTCCCCATAAGCAAGACAACAGAGTACACAATGTGTGCTGAAGCAGAGGCAGCGAAACACGAAGCTAGCAGGCGACTGTGAGCGAAAGGCTGGCTGTTAGAGCGGCTCCGTGACGGGCTGAAGCAGATGTGATCCACGGTGAATTTGGGTAAAAGGCGGAAGACTGCGTATCAACAGGGCGATGCTACACAGCTACAGCCGCTAGTCAGCTAACTGGTTGTTCCAACATGCAGGTAAGCGGAAACCGACGCAGCAGGTAAACAAAAGCTGCTGACAGGCGAGTTTTAGGTGAGGCTGCGTGGGTCTGTCGCCCACTGTCACTCATGTGGAGTGGGCTCATTGTCACAGAAAGGGGAGTAGCTAACGTTAGCAAAGAAGGATGTTGTTCCTGTGGGTGTTTATCAGAAGCAGAGCTAGCTGGGGAGACATTGGAGCTGAGGGGTCTGTTACCATGACTGCATGTTCTTCATGCTCCAGGAACAGGAAGCTGGTTTAACTAATCATTCTGTAAATATGGTTTTCAAACTAAAAATATACTGTCCAATAATTTTATATCATATACACTGTTTCCAGAGAAAACAATGTTGCTGACACCATAAAAGTCGGACAGGATGCTGTCAAAGCAGCTTTGGTCTATAATTTCTTTAAAAAATATTTAAAACAGTTTTTTTAAAACACTTTTTACATCCTGATCACTGCTGCACTGGTAATCTTCATTTCACCGCTTTAAGCTGATCATTTACTGATGAAAAGCTGAATGCATCGAAATTTCGTTTTGTATGAACTCTTTGTATGCAATAAAGTTAGTCTATATCTAAGAATTTACTGAAATTGGGTCAAACATTCAGTTTATTTATATAGTTCCAATTCACAACACATGTCATATTAAGGCACTTTACAATTAAACCAGATCTTATCGTCAAATTGATTCAAAGTTTTCTATCTAAGGAAAACCAGTTGATCAACAATCTAAGGAAATCCCTCATACTAAGCATCCTTGAAGCGACAGTGGAGAGGAAAACTACCTTTTAACAGGAAGAAACCTCTAGCAGAACCAGGCTCAGTGTGAGCGGCCATCTGCCGAGGCCAACTGTGGTTCAAGGAGACAGAAGCAGAGATGCAAAAGGCAACTATTAACCAGCTCCACAGGCGGCCCCATCCAGGAAAAACACACAGCCAAGCAGACGATCTCAAACATCTATAAACAAAGTTGTCGATGGCAGCAGCAGAGCTGATATTTCTCTCCAGGATGGAGCCACAACCAAACCAGAATAGACCAGATGAAGCTACTATGAGAAAAAGCAGAGAGAGCGTAACGTTAGAGATAGAACTAACACATTCTGCAGAGTGGGAGCATACAGCTAGAATGTAGCAGAATGATGAAAAAGGGGTCCCTATGTCGTCCTGCAGTCTAAGCCTATAGCAGCATGGCTATAGAGAAAGGTCAGGATAACCTGAGCCACTCTAACTATAAGCTTTATCAAAAAAGAAAGTTTTAAGCCTAGCCTTAAAAGTAGACAGGGTGTCTGCCTCGTGGACTAAAACTGGTAGTTTGTTCCACAGGAGAGGAGCCTGATAACTAAAAGATCTGCCTCCCATTCTACTTTTAGAAATTCTAGGAACCACTAGTAAACCTGCAGATTGAGAGCGAAGTGCTCTGTTAGGAACACAAGGAACAATCAGATCTCTGATATAAGATGGAGCTTGGCCATTTAAGGCTTTATGTGAGAAGTGAGATAGATGCCCCAAAAAGTGCTTTTATCAGTGGTCCAAGTTTTATCTGGAGTGGCGTATTCAATGTTTACCAGTACAAAACTGAACGAAATCTTCTCCCTGCATTTTGAGCCTATGAACACGTCAATGAACAACATAAACAATAAGCGCACTTTTTAATTTAAATTAAACTTAAAGCTACAGTGTGTAATAATTACAGGCATATAAAGTCAGAAATTTAATATATTATACATAACTATGTTATTTATCATCACCTATGAGCTCAGCCTTTTAACCATAATATTTGCGCTGCCTTAGAATTCGTTATTTATAATTACATAGGAGCGGGTCTCGCAGCCATGGAGGCTGACATCTTTGCGCTACGGCAAGCGCAGAGGCAACAAACTAGCGATTGCGAGATCTCCCATGACGCTCAAAAATAACTACGGCAAGTTGAGAGAGATTAACTGAGACGGTACTGAACAGTAGATGGCAGTATTATGCCTGAGAAGCGTTTAGTCTGCCTGAAACCAAAGAAGAAGAAGAAGCAGGTATACTGCGCCTCAGTAACAAGAAAGGTGAACAAGGCGGCAGGCGTGAGTGACTTTGCAAACTGTTTGGCACTGTGTGGCCAAACATCAGACGAATGGAGGATCATGCCTACTCTGTATCACAACGAAAAGCGGCGGACACCGAACCCCCGTCATCTAAGAAGCGGAAACACGACGAGAATAAACGCAAGCGTGACAAGAAACGGCAAAAAACACGGATCAACATTGGCACGGCATTTACACGATGGAAGTCACTGATGGAGGAAAAAGGTTTTCAAAGTGACGCTCAAGTTGCCAGTTTTCTCTTGGACAGGTAATTAATCCTACACACACAATTGTCTAATATCACTGCAGTTTTTGGAGTACAGGATGCTCAGACCTGTCTAAAACAATAACATGCTGCGTGATGATGCTGTTACTCTCCAGTATACTTATTCAGCAACGTCCCTGACGTTTCACAGGTAATGATTCAGTAATTTTCTGTAAAATAATTTTCTGGATATATACCTCGGTTACTTCTCTCCGGCTCCTTTGGAGATCTTCAAGCCTTTCCTCCTCTGCTCTCACCCCGCTGGCTCCCCTCTCTCGCCTGGCCCTAGCTGCACGGCCTCCCTGCCTTCGCCCTCGTCCTCTCCCTCTCCCTCGCGTTGTAACCCCCGTGCCACCAAAATGACTTGGACTCTGTAAACGGGGGATATATATTCTTCCAGCGAACACAATCTCGCTGTTAAACTAATGACTACAATTACTTCGTCTGTTTATATCACCATGCAAAGCAGCTCACCAAAACGTCACAACGACGTAGAAAAAATAACGGGTATATTTATTATCTTAAGTCTACATGAAATCTATACCCTACACAGACTAATGAAATACTATCTGTAAAATTATCTATGTAAACAAACCTCATCACTTGAGAGGGTAGGTGATGTGGACGTCGTAGAAGAAATTTTGTCCCGTAACGCTCGCCGTACTGTTGGGGGGGAGAAGCGGTGGGGGGGAGATGTTCATGTTGCTGCGGTCTGTAGTCTGACCGCTAGATGTCG